TCATTAAGTAATCAATAGAATGCCCATTTGATTATTTATTAATTATATTTGTGTCTACTCAAAGCTTCTCCGAACACTTGAGTAAGTTTAAATAATAAAATTTGACATCTTCGCAGTTGTATTATTTCGAGTGAATTATATATCTAAAGAATAGAAATATGGAGAGGAGCTCAGGATATCTAAATTTTAGGATTGTTTAGTGTAGATTTGAATCGGATGTCCATTGAAATCTTTCATTAAAACGTTTCAAACCTCAAGATTTAAAATTGATATGTTGTAAATGTGAATTGATCATTGCTAGTGAATATATAATATATTAAAAGAATTAAAACATCAAAATTTTCTTATATCTATAATTTTGGACTATTTAGAGGAGATTTGAGCTAGTTGGTATTGGAAAAAAAATTCAACTCGTGAGGAAGATGAGTTGTAATGTATAAATATTATATATCTGTGTTTGTGATTATTTATACATATTTAATATGTAGTTATAAATCATACATTTATACAATCTTACACTATTTATAAAATATCGATATATTACATATACATACAGCCATTTAATTAATTTTTGGTCAATGATACATTTACTTGAGAAACCGTAGTAAATATTGTCCTAAAATTTAGCGTATTACAAGTATAATTTCATAATAATGGTAATAATTGATTTCCTTTGTTGTAATATGTTAAGTACATCCATTATTACCCTACAAGATGCACTATATATTGTGTAAAAAGAATGATGATACATAAATACGTCCTTCATTATTTATTTATTTTTAAAAAAAAATCACCTAGTGTTTAATATCCGCATGAAAGTTCAATCAATTTGAATCCGCACCTATGAAGACCTCACTCAGACTGTAGCGCTTAATATGTACATTCTTCCAACAATTCTTCATTATATCTAGTCAATTGGATATGCTTTGAACGAAAATAACTCAAAATTATAAAAAAAAAATGTAAATATTTCTTTTTGAGATATCAAATTCATCTTTCAACCATTTGGATGAATATTTTTTTCCAAATTTAATATAAATAGCTTTAATTTCTTTTCTAACAAGACAGTTCTAATTCAATTTTTTTTAAAAGACAGAAATTAAAAATAACACTAGTGTTATAAAATCATTCAAAAGCCCAAGCATTGTCTTTACGGATCTCTTCTTCTTCCTCTGGAGTAAAATCATTTAATCCTATCGGCAACTTCTTGACATATCATATCCAATATCTCCTTATCGTTAAGGAAATTAGCAGTTAAGATAAGATCATACAAAATCAAGTGGAGCACCTTTACAAAAGCCTTGTCAAAATCCATCAACATGTCTTTGGAGACACCTTCCTCTGAATGTTTCTTCCAGTATTCGACCGCTTTGGTCATTGTTTTGTTATGGACATAAGGCAGGGGAATGACGTTTGAAACACAATCATCTTCAACCATATTCTTGATAGCTTGTGACCTTATGGTTATCGCCTCGTCTAGTACAAACACCTTACCATCGCAAGTCTGAAGAACTTTGTTAAAGATGACATGATGATAAAAATAAATTTGAATAAGAGATGTTAATTTGTTTTTGTTGAGAATATTATCGAAAGGAGATTTGAATGATTATAATGTCTGAGAGGTTTGAAGGGCTTAATTTATAGAACATTGGGTTTTCATTGTTCTAGTTGAAGTAGGAAGTCAAAACAGGAAAAAAAAAGTTCATGGGAATATTTATGGAGACTATTGCTTAAAAACAGGAAAATTTATTGTAATTGGAGTTAATGGGTGTTTGAAAAATCCAATCTTTATCACTCAGAACATATGTAACAGATATGAAGATAGTGATAGGTAAAAGAACGCTTTTGTTGTGTATCTTCTTGTAAAACCTGAAGTTATTATAACTTTGGAGAATGGTGTTTGAATAGTTGTAGACACATCTTTAAGCTATCATTGAGTTTTCTTTTTTATACCCTAAACAAGAGGGAAATTAAGACTCTACCTAATTTTCTCAAATAATATAACTAACTTTAATTTCTTTCCAACTAACCTTCTTATTCATGATTTTTTAAAAAGACATGTACAGAGAAAAGTCTAATATTTATTATGAGACGGAGGAAGTAACGTTCATCATATTATTTTGTTTGTATGTTAATTGTCCTCCCAACGCGAACGATATAAGTGGAGAGACTATTCTAGGTCTTATGATTTTGAGAGAAAATGCATCATTACCCCATTCAACTATAACACATTTTTTAAAAGACACTGGGACTTTGCAAAGGTCATAGCACTCCCTTAAATAATTCAAATGTGGTAAGAATATCCCGGATTTCAGTCAATCTCACGTATAAGAAAGAAAGTGCATACACACCAACTATTACCTACCACATGCCAATTATTTTTTAATTTTATTTTCATTTATTTCTCATTCTATTTTTTTAACAAAAAATTCTATTTACATTTTCAATTGTTAATGTATGTTGGACTACTGTAAATCCAACCTTTTTCCTCCTCTTCACCGCCGCCGGCTTCACTGCTATAACTTCATTTCAACCATTTAATATTTCTATCATCCAACCATAGTTGTATGGGGTAACGGAGGAGGTCATGTAATCTAAATTGTTTGAATCGGATATCTATTGAAATCTGTTATTAAAATGGATCCAACCTCAAATTTATAATTTAATCTGTCGAATGTGAATTAATCATTTCTAGTGAATATACAATATATTAAAAGAATTAAAACATCAAAAGTTTCTTAGACATATATATATATATAATTTAGGACTATTTAGAGGAGATTTGAGTGAATAACGTATCTAAAAGTATAATATTTTTTTTCTCAAATAACATAACAAGCTTTAATTTCTTTCCAACATAATTTATAAATCATTCAAAACTGAGCAATATTTCTTCAAAAAGGAACAACATGAGATAGAACTAACAGAAATAAAATAACAATAAAAATAGGATATAGCTAAGGAAATAACTGAAATATTATAAAAATCATTCAAAAGCCCAAGCATTCTCTCTACGGACCTCCTCCTCTTCCTTTGGAGTATAATCATTCACGATACAAAATACTTCACGTATTTCCTCTATTGGTTTCCCTTTGATCATATCAGCAAATTCTTGGATTATTACCTCCTTCAACTACTTATCATCAAAAAAATTAGCAGCCAAGAGAACACCAACTAATTCTGATTGGCTCATCTTCAAGAAATCTTGATCAAAACTCTTTAACTGATCTTCTGTAACACCTTCTTCCAAATGTTTCTTCCAATATTGAATCACTTTGGTCATTGTTTTGCCATCAACATTAGACAAGGGGAGGACATTAGAAGTACAATCCATGTATTGTACCATGTTCTTGATGACTTCTGACCTCACAGCTACAGCCTCAGTGAGTTTGAATTCCTCACCATTGCTAGTATTGAAAGTTATGAGTTTTTCTGAAGACATGACAAAGAAAATAGAAAGAGCTATGAATGAATGATTTCAATACATGAGACTAGCTTGGTCTTTTATAGTGTATTAGGTTTTAATTACTTTCCAAAGTTGTGGTAGGAATATGGAAAGCGAAATATTACATTGACCAAAATTTATTATTTTTCCTTTTTTAAAGTTTAATTAATTTGCTTTTTAAAATCTACTTATTATGTCTTAAATTATTATGATAATGATATAATTTAAAGTGACAAGGAAAGTTCTAACTCATTGTTTCTTTAATCATCTACTAGAAGACGAGTCATTTCTGATAGTTATTAAAATCGCTTTGTTTGACTACATTTCCGATAAAACTAATCAAGAAACTAAAACAATAGAATGACCATTTGATCATTTACTGATTATGTCTATGTCTACTTGGATCTTCTTCAGGCAATTGGGTAAGTTTAAATAAATAAAATTCGACATCGTCGCAACTATACATTATTTTGAGTGAATAATATATCTAGAGAATAGAAATATTGAGAGTAGCTAATAATATCTAAATTTTGGATTGTTTAGTGGAGACTTGAATCAGATGTCCATTGAAATCATTCATTAAATGCTTTAGAATCTCAAAATTTAAATTTGATCTACCACAAATTTAAATTGATCATTTCTAGTAAAAATATAATATACTAAAAGAATCGAAACACTGAGATTTGTTCATATCTATAATTTAGGACTATTTAGAGGAGATTTAAGCTAGTCGGTATTGAAAAAAATTCAACTCGTGAGGAAGATGTGTTATAATGTATAAATATTATGTAATTGTGTTTGTGATTATTTACATATCTAATGTATAGCTATAGATCATACATATATACAATCTTACACTATTTATATAATATTGATACATTACATATACATTCCACCATTAAATTAAATAAGAATTTGGTCAATGATACATTTACTTGAGAAGCGGTAGTAAATATTGCCCTAAATTTTGGAATATTACTAGTATTTTTCCATACAATTGTAACAATTGATTTCTTCTATTGTAATATTTTAAGCTCATCCACTATCACCTTGCAAGATGCACTATATATTGTGCAAAATGAAAGATGATTACATATATACGTTCCTCCAATTAATATTTTTTAGTTTCTTCACCCAGTGTTTAATATCCGCATTAAAGTTTAATTAATTTGAATTCGCGCCACTCGGACTATAGCGCTTTTTCTATACATTCTTCCAACATTTCTTTTCTTTATATCAAGTCAATTGGATATGCTTTGAACGAAAATAACTCAAAATTATTTAAAAAATTACATGTAGATATTTCTTTTTGAGATATCAAATTCATCTTTAAACCATTTGGATGAATGTTTTTTTTTCAAATTTAATATAAATAGCTTCAATTTCTTTTCAACATAATTTATAAATTTATAAAGCAATAAAAACCAAATAACAATTCTATATATATAAAAAAAAACAAAAAAAAAAACATAAGAAGATAGAACTAAATAAAATAGGATATAGCTAATTAGACAATTTTAATGCTAAAAAAAAATAATTGAAAATAACTATAAAATCATTCAAAAGCCCAAGCATTCTCTTTACAAATCTCCTCTTCTTCCTCTGGAATAAAATCATTCTTGATATCAAATTCTTTGCATATTTCTTCTGGTGTTTTCCCTTTAATCCTATCGGGAACTTCTTGACACATCATATCCAATATCTCCTTATCGTTAAGAAAATTAGCAGCTAAGATAAGAGCATGCAAAATCGAGTGGTGCACCTTCACAAAAGCCTTGTCAAAATCCATCAACATGTCTTTGGAGACGCCTTCCTCCGAATGTTTCTTCCAGTATTCGATCACTTTGGTCATTATTTTGCTATAAACATTAGGCAGGGGAATGACGTTTGAAACACAATCATCTTCAATCATATTCTTGATAGTTTGTGACCGTACAACTATCACCTCGTCGAGTACAAATTCTTTACCATCATAAGTCTTTAGAGTTAAGAACTTTGTGGAAGAAGACATGGATGGTCAATATATATTTGAATCAAATTATTATAATGTTTGAGAGGCTTGAATGACTTAATTTATAGAGCATTAAATTTACACTATCCTAATTAAAGTAGGAACTTAAAACCGAAAAAAAAAAAGTTTGATGGGAGAATCAGTTTTGCATAAACAATGTCAAATTAGGAAATTGTGAAAATTCTATCTAAACAGTATGTATGTGACCAAATAAGATTAGGAAAAGGAAGCCTTTTTTTTCTTTCAAATCTCAATGTCACGACCCTGACCATCGTAATTGGCACCCACACTAACTCTCCGGTGGGAGAACCATTACTACAATCCAAACCAAGCAACTAATCTAAAAACTAAGGCATTTAAGTTACAAAAGCAAGTTAAATAGCTAAAAACTGAAGTTCCCATAAACTTCCAAAAGATCTAACAACTAAACAATGCGGAAAATACGCCTAGAACCTGAAAGTCAACGTACCAAAACATCTAACAACGAACCAAAGTCTAAACAAGAAGGGTTACAATCCCAAACTAGTGAACTAACAACTAAGTGGAAAAAGTCTAAGTCCGAAATGTGGACATAGACGGAAAGAGAACTCATGGCAGTCCGGAAGAAGTGGCTCGCCCTTGAATTAGAACGATCACTAAACTTCTAAGTGAGGTCTGTCAATAGCCGCATGAAGATGCCATGTACTCAATAAAGAAAGAGCAAGTGCAGTATCAATACACAACCATAGTGTACTGGTAGGATCACACGGCTATCCCACTAAGTGTAACATACATCAGTCAATACAACAATATAATCACATGCATGTATCGAACATGTACAATATTATCAACATTTATGAATGAGGTACAGTTTCACATTTCTCAAGATACACAATTATATCAAGTCATTGGTCCTCTCATAGAACCCAAACCCAAACAATTAGCATACCTAAACATGGTACCCGATCCCATGTTTATGCTGAAACGTGGCAACCAATCCCATATTTATGTTAGAACGTGGCAACCGATCTAAGTTAGTGTGTTGAAATGCAACACCCGATCCATTCAACAAGCCACAATCACAATCAAAAGTATATTCTCATAATCATACAATCAAGTCATGATTTCATGGCATTCATCATTCATGTATCCTCATTTACAACAAGTGTGATCAACAATGCAACATCTGCATACATACACGTATCATAATGAAGCAAAAACAAACATATATCACAAAATCATAGAATCGCAACCATCACCTACCTCGAAACAAGCTTGAAACCCTAAGAAACTTGATCATTCCCTTTCCAGATTCGTTCCGCTTGTTCTTGGTCTACAAACAATCATAATAACACGTAAATCAATAAACAGTCACTAATTACCTAAATTACTAACAATTTTATCAACCCTAGATCATACCCTTGATCCTAACATCCAAATTAGGGCTTTTCCCACCATAATTCTCATATCAAAACTCTTCCCCATTGTTAATTACCCATTAGATTATGTTCTGCGGATCGAAAGATGAATTTGGGGTGTGAAAATTTTACATTTAACCTCAAGAATGGTGGAAAACTGTCAAGAAAATCCCTGGGTTCGTTCCTTAGCTCTCAAGTTCAAAAATTGTAGAATAAAATGTTTTTGGGGTTTATTTACGACTTTAAGTCACGTCGGGACCACCACAACGATCCTCACTCCGCTACAGCGGCCCCGCCAGGGCGACAAAAATCACCGCCAAAGAGGCTTGCACGAAATAGTGAGCTATTTTAATAATTTCAAGACCCCCATTTCACAACACACCTTCAACCAACGACACTCAGAAAATATCGTTCACGCTAAGATCGATTCTGAGAGTTCTACTCGACCGAATTCAATTCCGTAAAGTGGTACAAGTTCCTTAACGACTTATCTATCTACTCATGTAATCAAAATCATAATTAAATCACCCGATTGTTACTAGATTTCCCTACACCTTAATGACTCCGATTTTGACTAAATCTAGACTAGGTTGGGAAATTTCAAGCTACTACGAAAAAGTTTTTCGGCCCAAAATTTTTCCCCATTGGCTTTTCTATAACGACGGAAACCGGTCGTTACACTCAATTAGGAGAAAAATTAATATTTCCGTAATATCTAACCATGATGTTTGAAAAGTTGTAAACACATACATAATTATTCATGGAGACTATTGCTTAAAGAAAATAAAAATTTCTTGTAATTGAATTTAGTGGGGAGTTTAAAGATTCAATCTTTATCACTCAGAACAAATGTAACAGATAGGAAGATGGTGATAGTAAATTTGAAAAATTAAACAGAATGACCATTTGGTGGAGATCATGTAATCTACATTTTAGGATTGTTTAGTGGAGATTTAAATTGAATATCCATTGAAATATGTCATTAAAATGTTCAAACCTCAAATTTTAAAATTTGATCAACAACAAATGTGAATTGATCATTTCTAGTGAATATATAATATTTAAAAGAATTGAAACATCGAAATTTTCTCATATCTATAATTTAGTATTATTTAGACAAGATTTGAGCTGGTCGATATTGAAAAAATAATCAACTCGTGAGGAAGATGCGTTGCAATGTATAAATATTATATAAATGTGTTTCTGATTATATATACATATATGATATATAGTTGTACATCATACGTATATACGATCAAACATTATTTATAAAATATCGATACTTTACATGTACATACAATCATTTAATTAATAAGAATTTTGTCAATGATACAATTATTTGAGAAGTAGTAGTAAATATTGTCCTAAAATTTGGAGTATTACAAGTATTTTTTCATAGCAATTGTAATAATTGATTTCATTTGTTGTAATATGTTAAACCCATATGTTAATAACTTGCAAGATGCACTATATATTGTGCAAAAGGAAAGACGGTGCATATATACGTTCCTTCAATTATTGTTTTATAACTTTTAAATCAGTGTGTAATATCTGCATTAAAGTTCAATTAATTTGAATTTGCGCCTAGGATCGCACTCGGACTATAACGCTTCCTTTCAAGAATTTTTCTATACGTTCTTCCAATCTATCTAACTTCTTACCCAAATCAAGTCGAAGATTTTTTTTAAGCTCTAGCACCAATTAACATTATTATTAAATTTTTAAAATTGACATGTAAGCCAATATAACCTTATATCAAAAGAGAAACTCCATAATGTTTCTCTCTTGTTTATTAAGTTTTTAGTAGTCTTTTAAAGGATTCCCTAATACTTAAATCATTTTTATGAGTAACTTCAAAGAAAAACTATGTTAAGAAATTTTCCAGTAATTAAATTGTAGCAATTAATTAAGAAAATTTATCAAGTCTATTGGATATGCTTAGAATGAAAATAACTCAAAATTATTTTTTTTTTAAATTGAATATTTATTTTTGGGATATCAAATTTATCTTTCAATCATTTATTTTTTTTCAAATTTTATATAAATAACTTTAATTTCTTTCCAACATAATTTATAAATTTAAAAATCAATAAAAACCAAACAACAATTATATATATATAAAAAAAAAGAACAATAGAAGATAGAACTAAATAAAATAAGATATAGCTAACTAGCCAGTTCTAATTCTAAAATAAAAAAAGAACAAAAATGAAAAATAACACTAGTGTTATAAAATCATTCAAAAGCCCAAACATTCTCTTTACGAATCTTCTCTTCAGCAACTTCTTGACATATCATATCCAATATCTCCTTATCGTTAAGAAAATTAGCCGCTAAAATAAGATCGTACAAAATCGAGTGGTGCACATTCACGAAAGCCTTGTCAAAATCTATCAACATGTCTATGGAGACGCCTTCTTCAGAATGTTTCTTCCAGTATTCGATCAATTTGGTCATTGTTTTGCTATGAACATTAGGTAGAGGAATGATGTTTGACAGTCGTCTTCAGCCATCTTCTTGATAGCTTGTGACCTTATGGCTATAGCCTCATCCAATACAAGTTCCTTACCATCGCAAGTCTGTAGAGTTAAGAACTTTGTTGAAAAAGACAGGATGGTAAAAATATTTTTGAATTAGTGATGGTAGTTCGTTTTTGTTGAGAATATTATTGAAAGGAGATTTGTGTTGGGTTATGAAGGATGATTACGACGTCATGCGGAAGTTTACAATTTGCAAATCATATAGTTGATAAATCAGATAACAAAAACTTATACTAAAAATCAAAATATTATTATATCAAAACTAATATAAAGAAAAACATTGAAACTTTAGAGAGAATAAATCTCCCCATAAACAAGACTCGTAAACGACTACATAGTAGATGTAATTGTTATTGTATTAGAAGAAACAAACCTATATTTATAGAGTCCTAAAACCTTTTCTATTAGAAAAGGAGTCCTAAAAGGAGAGAATAAACCAATTATGAAAGAATATTATATTTTCCTTTCAGGAAAAGTAAAAACATTTATGTTAATGTTTTGTCTTTTCTTTTAGGAAAAAAATAAACTTAAAATAAGGTAAGAAAATCAGGACAAAACCCTAACAATTTGAATGATTATAATGTGAGGTCTACAACAACAACAACAACATACCCAGTGAAATCCCACTAGGTGGGGTCTGGGGAGGGTAGAGTGTACGCAGACCTTGCCACTTCCTCGTGGAGGTAGAGAGGTTGTTTCCGAAAGACCCTCAGCTCAAGTACATCAAACCCAAGTAAAAAGAGAGGAAAACAGTGTATTTTTAACATCCAATAAGAAAGATAGTAAATAATCAACAAAGGAGACAATAACATCAATCAAATAATGTGAGAAGTGAAACGCAGTAAACAACATAAGGCTATAGGTATCACAGACAAGAACTGCAAGTGCAAGGCTAGGACTACTACAAACGCTAACAACCCATACCCTCGCAAGGAAAGACAACACGCTAACCCTACTAACATTCAACCTTAATACGCGACCTCCACTCCTTCCTATCTAGAGTCATGTCTTCGGTAATGTGAAGCTGAGCCAAGTCATGTCTAATCACCTCTCCCCAATACTT